CACACACACTCACACACTCTCACACTCTCACACACAACATGCCCATACTGGCTCTCTAATGAACATAACTCCAAACAATAGAGCTGACCTGCTTCACACCACACGGGGTTCTGCTCTCCTCCGCCCTTTCGACAAAGTCTGATTTAAGTGATGCTTCCCTTCAAACACCCAACTCATTAATAGCTTTTTATAAATAAACTCTTACTATATTTTGTAGATGTCAAAAGTATAATTTGTAATACCTACATGAAACTAATTATTCCAGAATACAAATGCAGCCCCAGTGCCTCTAGGTGCATGTACTATGTGATGTCATTTAATGTATCTATCCCATGTTAGTATATCATTGTGCAACTTTGTTAACACAATATTCATTTGTCATTTTCACATGTTCACCTAGTTCAATCTAATTCAGTTGAATAAAACAGGCAATGAAGGTTATCGTTTCATTTAGCGTACCTTTATCGATATTGTTTAGTTGACAAAATAACTGAAAAGCATCGAAGCTATTTCAAGGTCATGTTAATTTTCTTTTGAACATTCTGTCTTTATCCCAATGTTGAAAAAAAAAAAGGACAAAGAGGGTGAACAAGATGCTCAAATTGAACCAGGAACGTTGAAAAATGATATTGTATGTATCTTAATGACTAAATCATAAAGGTGAATGTCTGCTTTTTCCATATAAGCTGTTTTCTGAGCTAAATTAGTCTTATTTTGTTCACCTAAAATACTTTATAACAGTGTGCAAACGCATAAAGATTAAGAATGTAAATGTTGAAGTGGTGCAGTGCAGATAGAAAATGAGTGTTGGCCTACTGCCACACTTACATTTCCAACGCCACCAAAATGTCCATCATGCGATATTTCGATCATCTTTACCCATCCCACAGACTTACCGTGTTTATTCTGCACATCTTCTTCACGACCCATCTCCACGTTGTCAATTACAAGGCACCTATACTGGAAAATCCTCAGACCATTCACATCACTCAAAACAGGTCATGTTTTTTGTACAATTTGTTTGTCAGAAGGATTACGGAAACACTACTGGCCCGATTTTAACCCAACTTGGTTGACAGCAACAGATAGCAGATAATCACTTTAATGTTTGCTCTCCAATTGCTCTTCTAGTTCTATTTGTGATGCACTGCAATTTATTTTTGAGAGGGTACTGCGCACAGGTGGTACAGATGTTGGTTGTATGTAAAGGTAGAAAACAGTAGTCAGAAATAAAAAACATTAAAACAAAAAAATAAATAAACTAAAGTGCACTCAAAGAACGCAGACAAGGTCGTCTTTCCATAATCTTGCTGACACAAATAAACAAACCAACAAACAGTAATAAAAACATTTCCACAAAGTGAATCAGAAGTATAAGCATCCTTAGTCTACAGTATTTCCTCAATTGTCTAAGAGTAAAACATATAATATCTAACAGTCTACAGATTTTTCCTAACCATCATTGGTCAATTTCTGTCGGCGTTGGCATCCGGTTTGGCAGGTTGTTAACTCTCATTTGGACGCCCTCCTCTATTTGATTCTGTTATTGATTAAAACAGTCTTTTCTGTGCCAGATGGATTTGGATTATGCAGCCAAAATGTGGGCCACACACAAACCAAATGAAGTTGCCCTGCTCCGCCTGCTGTGAATCTGGCGTACCACATGCTGCAGTTTGTGGTCACTGCGCTGCCCCAAGGTGCCTCGACAGGAGCCAGCCCCTTTTATGGCCGACATTCTCAGTAGGGTGCTTATCGCTATTTATAAACCCAGAGTCTGTCACAGTGGCACAGAAACCTGAGATGGCTGTGGAGGGGACCAGGAGCTCTGTAGGAGGGGGGTGAACATCATGCTGAATGTGTGTGTCTGTGTTAAATGGAGCTTGTCACATGAATGGCTGATCATGTGCGATAAGATAACTTGACGCTGACCATGTTGTTCTGCAAGGCTGTATGGTTTGTCGTTTTCGGGACGTAAATGAAAACATGTTTTATAATTAAGTGAACATAATTTAATTGAGATATATTCACATATTATAATGAGTTGTTAGTTTTGGAAGCAATTGTGAACATTTGACACAGACATTACCCTAGTCCTATTTGTCTGTAATCATTTTGGAAATACATTTCCTACAAGGCTTCAGGGGACACAGGAAGTATAATGCTGCCATGTGTTCAGTGAGCTATGCTGATACCACTTGAGCCTTGTTTTTGCCAGTAATTAGCTACATCATACAAATTGGCACTATATAAAGTATGCCGAATTAGCTATTAGCAGTCACAATTTGTCATCATGAAATTGACTCGTGAAATTACAGACAACTATCACTGGATTATTTTAATACTGAAGAAAACTTGTTCATGTGACATCTGCTCCTCTGTCCGGTAGGGATCACTGCGCAGATTGTCATCACAACACATCACTTGGTTTCCAAAAGCCTAACCTTTATACATTGGTGTTAAATAAAGTGGCCCTATATTGGGGGCTAAGTCTTATTTTGTTCAGACTATACAGCATTAAAGTCAAATGTTACCCTTAAAAAGTACCATGACTCATCTTAATCAACAAATACAGATTGTCAAAACATTGTGAAAGTCCACAGTCCTTAAAACATTATACAAACGGTGAAACAAAAAAAGGAAAAAGAGAGCGACCAATTTAAAGGATTAATTCAAATGATAGTTAAGTAATACAAAAATACTGCAGTTGGACAAAATGTCATGTCCTGATCTGCCTGTCTTTAGGCTATATTCTCTTTTTCCTCCCTAGAATATTTTGAATTCTAGGAATGAAAGTGGTCTTAGTTGTGCTAATCATTCCTAATGTGGACTCAGTCTCTCTTACAGCCATGTAAGGCTGCTAAACTGATGAAATACACAAGTCTACCACACTGTAATCTTCTTAGGCGAGGAGGAGCACTGCAATCCTCTTTTAACCAAATCCTAATCCTTTCTTCAACATCAGGTGGAAGCGGAGCCATCCATCCATGTATTTCTTTCTTACTCTCTGATGTAAACACACTCCCTATCATTCCTCCATTAGTATTCTGGAGTTCATGCTGTGCATTAAGCTCTGTGCTGAAGTACAGTGGGGGTGTCTGGAGAGGAGCCCAGTGTTAATCTGTGATTCATCTGGTTCGGTGAGCGTTTGGACGGGCCTGTGGAGAGCTTCACGCTCCATCTGCCCCTTGTTGGCTGCAGAGGAGATCTGGCCTGGAGCCTGCAGCCTCTCACCTTCTTACCTCACTGTCTCTGAACTCCTGTCTCATTATTTCTCCAGCTCTGGGACTAGCTGTTACTGTCTTTATCTGTCCTCCTTTTTTCGTCTTTTCAAATCCTTTCCTTTTCTTCCTCCGTCATTATGCTGCACCATTTGTCCACTCTCTCATTGTCCCCCAGCTCCCCTTTCTCTATAAACCTCTCTTCTCACTCTCCACATGTCCTTTCAGAAGTGCACAAATTGTCCCTTCTTCTTCTAATTCTTCTTCTTCCAGCTCCGTACCCCCTCCATGCGTCACTGCTCTGTTTGTCTCCATCTTTGTCAGTGTGACAGGCAGAGAGGGTAAAGGAAGGGGGGGGGGAGTCGAACAAGCAATAGCCTGAGTGTGAAAACAGAGTCTGAGAAGGGATTAAAACAGGATGTGTTCTGTGGCTTTTTTCTGCCTCTCTGTCGTCCTCTGTAAGGGTCAGAGGTCAGGAAGTCTGGCCTCGTGACCGGATCTGTGTGGAGGAAGTCTTCATAAGGAGGCCTTCATTCTATACAAAACATGATTGAATACAAGTAAAGATTATTGTTATTATGGATTAATCAGTAGGTTCAATGCCAACTTTAGATTTGAAATTAAATGTTCAAGTCATGCAGTTACCAAACATGGTAAAAGCTCGAGGACAAACTTCAATTACAGTTGTGTTAAATCTCTCCCTTTTTTTTATTTGTAAAATGTTGTATTTTTTGAGCCAGAGAGTGCTTTGATTGATAGATATGGTGGTGAACGGGAGAGACAGAGGGGAGAATATTGTCCGAATGTTTGGCGAACCAGATAGGAACCCGCGTACTTGGCAGTGGGCACCTCAAATGGACCGCCTGTTCTAAACACAACCTGCAGCCCAAATCTCTCACATTTTAAACATAAACATGGTCTTTTAGCGTACATTTTCAAAATGCTTGTTGCGTCCCATCAACAGTCCACAACCTGAACATTAACCAAAAATAATTTAAAACAGTGAAAAGCAACTTATTTTAGAAGCAGAAACCAAAAAAAGTATAATTTTCACATAAATAATGACTTTAAACACTTTTTTATCGTGAACGTTTGTGTTGCCCCACAGTGAAGTCAGGGGATTTAGACTCCAGTTTCGGTGGCTCTGTGGGGATAATTCAACCAATCATCATTCATTATCCCTGTGATAACAACTGTGTAAGCATTCATCTTTTTAGGGAAGCTGAAATCAACACAACAAACTCTAGTGTTTTTCTTCTGCCCCATAGGAAAAACCAATGTGTATAATAAAATATGCCGCCTTTTTAGTTCAGAGAATCTGTTGAATTGGCTCCACTCCTTCAAAGACAACTGAGATTTCCTCCCATGCTTCTATCTCACCTACTGCGGTGTGTCTACAGCTGGTAATATGAGGCCCTTTATTTCAGCTCTAAAACCTTCAGGGACGGAGGGGGAAGTGCAGTGCTGCACATCGACTGATGTGTGTGAATTGCATGTGAAGGAGATGTTAATGGTTTCTAATTAGGTGAAGTGTTGCGTTAATGAAGTAGCACAAATATTTCCAAGCTTATAGTGAAGGTGCGTCACAAATGGATGTAGACAGACAGTCACTAGCAATGGAAAACATACTAGTGATGCAACTAGACGTCACAAAGCATCTGTGACAGCACAAAGGAAACTATGCATTATCATGGTGTTTTAATATTGTGTGACATGACAGATCATTTAATAAAGCATCTATGGTAACTCGTCTTAATCAATCTGTGTCTTTTCTTCCTCCAGCTCTTCCTCTGCAGACGGAGTCTCAGTCCATCCAGAATGGGGACAAGTCTCTGGGGAAGGACATCCTGACTTCAGATGACTCCGCCGTCACAGACCTCTCTCCTAAAACAGACTCCAGCCCCATCACAGAGACCCCCACCAACACAGATGCCTCCTGCAAGACAGATGTGAGGCCCTCCACCCCGGGCAGCAGCCCTCAACCCAAGAAAGGTAGACATATGGAGGTTTTTGCTGATAAATATGAATTACAAACACATAACATCAGTCCTGGGTAAGCTTGCAAAGTCAAAGACAGCAACATGTTAAATCTCTGCCCTGTTAAAACAGATGCGTGCCCCCTTTCTTGTGCATCAAGTAGAAGCAGTACAAATGTTATTTTTGAAAGGCTTACAACAAATACGAATTGAAGCGGAATATTTTGTTAAACATGATCGGGATTTTGGAAATTAGCACATCCTTATGATATGAATGCAACCTTACTACACTCTTCATTCTAAGGTTTTTGAGTATTGTATCCCATTCAGCCAGCAAAGCATGAGTGATGTCAGCTGCTGATTGTATAGTGATAAGGCCTTTCTCCTGCCAGTGAATCCCACAGGTGTTGAGTGGGGTTAAGGTCAGCTCCCTTTGTGCTGGCCGGTCAAGTACAAGGAAAAAAGAAGAACATTTTCAAATACTACACGTTGCTGCTTTCAGTTGGAGTTTGTTATTTTTTTCCTTTTATAAGCAAAAATATGAAAGGGACTGCTACAATTGCTGGTACTTTTGTGCTTCATTTGGAGGCAGATGAGTGCAGTGATCAGATAGGATGCTGGCTCTTAGAGATAATGAGGTAATTAAGTCAGAGTGATGCAACAGGGGGACAATGGTGCACACTTGAATGGCTGTCAACCAGACACAATGCAAGGTCACAGTGGTCCTTAGTTTGTGTTATGGTTGCAATCACAAAAGCTACAATTACAAGTGTTGAAACTGGCAGCAGCAAAAATAGCTGCTTCTGTTACAAGCTCGTTCTTTTTTTGTTTTACTTGGTAAGTTGTTTGATTGCTGCTGAGGTGTAGAATGTGGAGTCAGCATTTTGTCCTACAGCTGCTGGCCATGTGACCCCATCGGGCTGTTGGCTTCCTCATCTCATTTATTAAAAACCTGCTTCTTTGAAATGGCTTAATTGCTCCACATAAAACACTACACCGCCTCCGTCATTATCAGGGAAAAAAGTTTCAAACCCCCTAAAAAGACCCTAAATGTATGAAACTGTGGCTATTTTTTCACTCTTTGTCCTCATGGAAGTTTCGATGTACATTGAGTCATTCTCACCAGACAGATGGTAGTGGCTCAAGCCAAATCGTCCTGTGCTATGGGGAGGGAGACTGAAGCATTGAGTGTCAAGTACAAGACCTCCAGACTGATGAGGTTTATTTATTCTCTGCACTTCATAGCGTCTGCATGTCAGGCAGACTGAAGTGCGCAGCCGGAAAAACTCTCCGAAAGGTGGGGAGGAAATTCAGGTTGCCATGGAGACACTGCTGAAGTGCTGCAGGGCGCCGTGATTGGTTGAGAATACATCATACATATTACATAGCGTGAAGGAGAACCACAAAATCAGACGTGCACCCCGGGGGTCCTGGTTTCAGCCGTGTTTTTTTCACACCCAGTTTCTAGAAGATAGAGACGCTCAAATCCTCATGTTTCACCGCTGCGTCTTAGAGTGTATCAGATACATGCTGATTATCACTGCAGCAGAAAAACAAGAGGATATTCCCAGTTACAGTGGACCTGCATAAGAGTTTTAACATTGTGAGTGTATGAGGAGACGGAACTGCTTTGACCTGATTAACTGAATCAATGAATGAAACCTGCAGATATAGGTTTTATATATCGAAAAGCCACATGATAAAGACTTGTTTTTAATCAGCAACATTCAACGGAAAACAATCAAATCTTGGGGGTGGCGCTCATGATGCTCACAGCTTTAAAATATAATTATATAATATTATAATCACACATATAAAAAGCCAGAAACAGTGTCAACAATCTGCTTCAGCTGCTTTTTAACTGGGTCGCTTCTATTGTTTCACTAAAAACATATTGTCGACTGATGTAAAGTAACAGGACAGTCTCACAAGTGGTGCCTTTCTGTTGACATGTTTTAGATAGCAAGCTGTGCCACCACATGTCTGTATCCCAGGTGTTCCTCTTCTCCCGTTACTCCTGAGGGATCCCAAGGCATTCCCGGGACAGATGGGATGTGTAATCCCCCTCAGCGTGTTCTGCCTTTGCCTTGGGTCGTCTCCGAGTTAGAGTAGTTCCGTGAAAACCTCTCGAGGGAGGCGTATCAAACGAATCCTAATCAGATACCCCAAGCTCTTTCTAGATTTCTGAAGTAGTTCTCCTTAGTTCAACTGAGCACTTTATTGTCTTTGATCGACCTGCTCAGCAGCAGGCAGACACAGTTAGCCACTAGCTGGTGCTTAAAGTGGAGCATTAAGCAGCTAAAGACACAGATATTTCCATCAGGAGGTGGTGGAGACCAAACCTGGAGCTAAACAACTCAGAAAATGAATATCTCGTACATTCATATGGGGGACAAACAATACTTCCAATAACAACAAAACCTTGCTCAGTAACTGCTTGATGTGTTGAAAAGCAAATGTTTTAGAGTTTGTTACTTAAGTGTTCATCTTTCTCTGCCCCTAAGTGACCACCATATAATTAGTTTTTGGAGGTTTAAGATGTACGTTTCAAATGAGAGCTTTATTTTTTATTTTTCCCTACAGATTCGATGAGCTCAGAGCAACGACAGAAACTTGCCAAGGAGCGGAGAGAGGAAAGAGCCAGATATATTGGTAAGAAATACTAAAACTGTCGAATATTTTATATGTTTCTTTGAACAAATTTGATTACTTAAGAGACTCAGTTTGTGATGCATGAAGCTGGACATTGTAATTACCAACTTGTTGCATGTACACCTTCTGTTCCTTATCTAGTATTAACATTTCTCTTTCCTCTGTCACTGTGCTCTGGTATGACTGACAAGTATTGTCGTCTCTTATTGTTTCTCCTTGAATGGCTTTCAGAACAGCAAACTCAGCTGCAAGGTAAGGGGCTTCACTAAAACCCGATGAAGCATTTGTGCCGTCATGCTATTTGGGAATAATCACAGTTATGACATTTCTTCAGCCCTCCATGATTCAAATATGTTTTTACCTTTCTGTCATTGCGTGTCATTTTTGAACCCTCAGCAGTTCATTTTCAACTTTAATGTTTCCACTTATGTTTTGTTTAAGTTTGACTTTATGTTCTTCTGCATTTCTGCGCAGCATGCGTGTCCCACACCTTAAATCATGGTTTTACTTTATGGCTGCAGAATGAAACTTTTCCCTCCTATAAAAAGATTTTTCCAGTCTAAAAATCTGAAAGACTATACTTGTACAACACAAGGCTTCTCCCTGTGGATGTAGGCAGCCAATCAGAGCATAGCTTGTGGGGCGTTTACCCGCAGAAGCGCCCCACAGAGACAAGGGCGTGATAAATGAGCATCATTACCATAAACTGAGAGCAGGCCTTTCACAGAGATTATATTTAATTACTACCTTCATTAGCATCAATAATGTGGTCATGCTGCAGCACAGAAGAAAGGGAGTTCGGCCGTCTTTTTATCGATAATATCTGAGGTTTACTCAGCGTCCGTATAGATTACTGCAGTCTGCTTCTGTCTGTAATTACATGGTGAAACGTTAAGCCGTTTTAATGTGGAGCATGCCATTTCTTCAGCCCAGGATGCATATAATTGCATGTAGGTCGCAAAACATGTTGTTTTATTTACATGTATCCAAGAAACAATAAAGGATTGGGGTTTTGTTATGTAACTGCAACTCGAATATTTTAGCTTTCTCTGCAAAAGGGGAAAATGAAAAGCCATTAAACAGACACATTTTTCATCCTGCTGCTCGGAACACAGACACACATAATAGGATGTTTTCAGGAATTGGATTCATGGAGGATGAAGAAAGCTTTCTCATTGCGTATGAGGCTCAGACTTGTGCGCCTCATTAATGAAGACGAGCTAAAGAATACTGAACTTGATACAAAAAAAGGTCTTTGCTTAACCACACTGCTACATCCTTGCAGTACTAATGCTGTCTAACTCCCAGCAATATGAGGTAACATTGAATCATGCCATGCTATTGCTTTTGTTGTATCCAGCATGTAACCAACCTTCATCATCATCATCATCATACTCTCCACACTGCCTGAAATATGTTATATAAAAAGGGTAGAGTATATGCATGGAGTTTAATTCAAGAGGATTGATTGCTGTTGAATTGTTCCTCAAAGCAATGAGCCACAGCAGCGTATGAACAGAGAGTAGCAGGCGTCTGCCGGAGGGAGCTGTAACACACAGCGGGAAACTTCTGCTTATTTACTGTTATCAGGATTATAGTGTAATGAACTCAGCAGCTTCCATCTGCTTCACCCATTCAGTTCAAGATTCAAGAGTTCATTGAAACTCTGATGGAGAAGTTCCTTTAAATCACTTATTTCCACTAAGTATTACTATACTTCACATACTGTAGACTGTCATTACAAATATTCTTGTTGTGAAATTTGGTTCTGATAATCAGGGTCTCCAGAAGATAGATATAATGAGCTTATCACTTCCCTGAATCTTCTGTAGTACCAACATTTTGATTGATCTCGTGAAATAACTCTCCCAAATGTTCATCCAGTGCCCCCATCATTTTGTGGGTATAAATGACATTTCTTGACAAAGACTGGATAGATTGCCATGAAATGTATGTTAACACTGAGGCTGTAACACAAATTACAGCCTCAGCTGTAATTTGTATTTTTTGCTCATTGTCAGCATGCTGAACACACCAATCTAACATGATTAACAGTTAATATCACTATGTAAACATCAGGATGGTAACTTGCATCATTATGAGCATGCCTTAAAGAGCCACAAAGGCCTTTCCTAACATCATATCATAACCGTGCCATATAGAAAACATGTTGTATTATTATTATTATTATTATTATTATGAGTTTTGAAGATTAAGTGGTTGACATTACATAAATAAATAGCATGGGTTTTGCTTACAAATCACTTTTCAGATAATCACAACATTAAAAGAAAATATCTCAAATGGGACGTTGTCAACCTTTTTTTCCAACTTTCCCATATTTTTTTTTCTCCATCTATTCTGAATTTCTGTTTAAATGTTAACCTCTCTCTCTGTGGTCACCCTGCAGCCACAAAGAAGGTCCAATGGCTGGAGAAAGAGGATAAAGCCCGACGTCTGAGGGAGAGTCAGCTGGAGGATCGCAGGAGAAAACTGGAGGAGCAGAGGCTGAAGACCGAGAAACGCCGAACTCTGCTGGAGGAGAAACAGAGACAAAAACTAGAAAAGAACAAGGTGAGAGAATACAGTCATTCATGAGGGTCAAAACCATTGAAACATGGATTGAATAATGATACTGAATAAAGTCTTGGCTTTCCAATTAATGCTATGTTTAAAGCTTGTTAATAATTATTAACACTGAGCTACTATAGAACATATCTAACCGTCAATTTCCCCACTAATGTATTTCTCATGCTGATAACACAGACATATTTATTTCGTAGACAGAGAGAGAAGTGATTCCTGCCTCTAAAATATCTTGTGTTAACTGAAGTCAGGGTGGACAAGTCAAATGTATGCCAGTATTTATTTAAACTGGTAGTTGGCTGTTTATCAGGGATTTGGTCCAGTCCTGAATATCAGCTGTAATGTTTTGGCAGCAAACAGTTTTCTAAGGCAACAATATCATCTTGTGACTCCTCTTCACAAGTTACACGTGCTTATTATGAGTCGTGAGTATTTTCTACCAAACGGTTATTTCCCCTTCTAATTATTAGTTTTCTTGCTAAGAATTAAGTTCCTCAGTACCCCTCTCATATCTGGAGTCACAGCTAGTGGGCTATTAGCTTAGCATGAAGACTAGTGGAGGGTGGAAACAGCTAGCCTAGCTCTGGCCAAACTTTGAAAATACACATACAAAAGTTTCTATGGCTTGTTATTGATCATTTAGTATGATTTATTTTTTCTAAACAGAAATATTAAGAAGTAAAATGATGTACTGTATCTTGGGCTAAAACATCCAAGCTAACCTAGCTAATTCCTTCGCTATTTCAAAATGGTACTCTAACTTTCTCTTTCGTTATTGTTTTGATTAGGGTTAGAAAATGACATATTGTAGCAGAAAATTACTATTATATTTGTATTATACAATACTGTGCGTTCAACTATCGTTTTTAACTTTCTGGTCCCTCCAGGAGAGATATGAGTCCGCTATCAAGAGGTCGACAAAGAAGACGTGGACTGAGATCCGCCAGCAGAGATGGTCCTGGGCGGGAGGACTCAACCACACTTCCCGCAGAGAAAGTGAGTTTTAAATCAAGCATAATCACACAGACACTCAAACACAATTACAGGAATATATATCACGGATGTATATCACATCCTCACTGTTACTCAGGCCTTCCTGTTGAGCAACGCTGCACAGACTGTGACTCACTGGTCCCACTAACTGATGTAAGGAAATAACTTCTGAAGGGCTCGCTGTCATGAGGGCGGGACCAGAGGCAGGTGACCCCACTCAGTCATTTCAACCCTTGTAATTCCTCAGCGAATGTCAATGGAACAAGGAAACTGCCTTGAATTCATTAGAATAGCAGTGTGAACAGTGTTTTCTCAGAGAGCTGTGAGCTTATTCCCCTTTTCAAACATGTGACGAGACGCCTGTTTTGGATCTGTGACACCGAGGTCAAGACAGGTTTCTCTAATTTAAAGTGTGAAAGATAGTGAATGTGTGTGAGAAGCATGTGTGTGTGATATGTTATGCTGATTTGTTGTAGCAGAAAAAACTGTGGATCTACACTGAACAAAAATATAAACGCAACACTTTTGTTTTTGCTCCCATTTTTCATGAGATGATCTCAAAGATCTAAAACATTTTCTATATACACAAAATAACCATTTCTCTCAAATATTGTTCACAAATCTGAAAAAATATGTGATAGTGAGCAAATGGGAGCAAAAACAAAAGTGTTGCGTTTATATTTTTGTTCAGTCTATAATGGGGATGGGACGATAAAGGATTGGGATAAAAAGACACTCATAATAAACATATAATTGTTTGCAAAGAATTTTTTTTATGAGTATAATCGTTAATATCCTCACATGAGTGACTTTGAAAACCTGTGTAGCTCACTATGATGGTAGAGAAATAAAAAATACAGCTTAATTTAAAGGAAAGAGGAATGGTCATGTACTGTAGAAATGAACCCGAGTCCCACAATGTATTTTAGTTTTATCCTTAATTTATGCAGATAGAACGTTTTTTTATGATTATTTAAGGTTTCTTGATTTTCATTTAAAAGTGTGTTCTCTAAAAAAATATTTATCCTATCTGGGATTCAGATATATCAACAGATTTGGAGGTAAAGTGCTTTCAGTATGTTTCAGTGCCATTTTAAGAGTTTCTAATTAAACATTTTAATTTTAAGTATGATTAGTATAATGTTGTAAATCCCATTTCTTTTGGCCAGGATAATGGTGACATGACAAGTCCCATGCCTTCTCTAAATGTGTTTTCTAACTATACCACACCCTTCCCCATGCTTTCCTCAAATGTCCTCCCCCCACGTCTGAATTCAGAATAATCTCCTCCTTAATGTTAATGAGAGCCTCAGAATGGTCCCTGATCTCCTCCTGATCCACAGCGAGGGGAGTCGGCAGCCCTCGGCTGGGTTCGCCTGCACTCCGCCCGTCTTGTGAACAGTTGTTGTCTGTTGCGTTCTCTCCGGTGCAGGCAGATGCTCGGCCTCCACGGTCAACTTGCCGAGACAGGTGGACCCTGTCATTAACAACAGGCTGTCCAAGTCCTCTGCCACGCTCTGGAACTCCCCCAACAGAAGTAAGGACGACCTGACGTCAATGTCCACCAGGCTTCCTCTTCCCTCCCTAATCATCCCCCCTTCACCTTCCCCACCTCCTCTCACCCTACTCTGGTTTTTGGTTTTCGTCTTTTATGATTATAACTGTGGTCTCTGGTGGCCTGCCTGCCTGCCTGTGCTTGGTGACTGGTCATTACTCCCTCCTGTTGTCAGGTCTCGTTTGCATTGTGATTTTTTGATTTCAGTGGGTGGTTGTCATTGGTTTTGAGTTTCCTCTGCATTTTTGATCAACCTCCCTTTCACCTCGACATCACTGAGACACATTTCTTGATTGTTTTTGGAAAGTTTATAAGTTCACATCTTGTCTCGACACATTATTTATTGGTTGTCCTCTTCCAGTTTAATGTTGGTGGTTTGGTGTGGTGGTGGTATTGGTGGTGGGTATTATAGTGTGACTGTTGCAAATGCAAGAAGCGCAACTAAATGCACATGTATTGTATTATCATTTTGTGTTAATTTTTCTAGATGTATAGCCTCATTCCATTGAATATTTGGTTAGTTATTTACAGAAACATATTGCTGGCTCCAAGACAAAAACAAGTAGTTTAGCATGTTAGCATGCTAACATTATCGAATATGTAACTTTTGCTGAACACCAGTCACTGTAAAGGGACACTTAGTGATGTGTTTTATTACCTTTGCCAAAGAGGTTATATGTTGAGGTTTGTTTGTGTGTTGGTTGTCTAGTTTGTCAGCATTAGGAAAACCCCTAAAATATTTGAGCAGATATAATCAATATTTTTCACATGCAGATTTCACACTTAACCATGAATGTAAACTTCACGCTTGATCACCACAATCAGTAGGATCATCCTCTGGCGACAATGAATGTTTATACAAAATATCATGACAATCAATCCCATAGTTGTTGAGATATTTCAGTCAGGACCAAAGTAGTGGACAAACAAACCTACATCGCTTTCCATACAGCCATGCTGCTTAAGTGTGGCTAAACATTTTACTTTGTTGTTGAATTAAAATCATTTAAAGTGAACACAATGTCAAATCAATATGACATATATGTTATGAGCTGATTTAATTTTTGTCGTGGTGTCAGCAACTCAATGCTGTAATATGACAAACATTTAAGATTTGTTGTATCAAACTCATTTCATCAGACTCCTGAGTTTCCACATGAACATAAGCAGCAATGTCTTCATCTCAGATTGGTCACGCCTCATAACATTGTGTCATTACTGATCGTATCACCCACAGTGCAATCAGCAGCTCTGCTCCCAGCTCCCGTCGCCACAATACAGATTCAGATGTCATGCTTTGTTATCACTAATAATACAGATGCTCGGATACTGCGGGAACACTTTCGGAGCAGAATCATATTGGATGTCAGAGCTCGTGTTCCTGGCCTTAGGAGATGCTCAATGAGCCAGTAATAGTGTGGTGCTTGTGCTGGTGGGGGGGTTATGTTTATAGATCTAGGCATCAATCTACCTCGTCGATCACCAGGCAGCAGCTCAGCCTCCTCTTACCGCATTGGAGAAAAGGAAAAGATGAGGAGGAGGGGAAACCACTGTTGCCTAGCAACGGGAGGTAGTTGGGTTATCTGTTAGTCATAAAAACATGTTGTGAAATAATCCGTCCAACGTACAGCAGGGGTGACTGTTGCATAAGAAAGACGGTGTATGATGAGGAGTGCTTTTTAAATTGGCAATCCTTAAGATCCCTTCCTGTTTACTCATCAAGTGCGATAGTACCTGGGTTGGCATAACAAACTTTTGTCGTTTGAATCAAGACGTCAGGCATTAATTGGCTTTTTTAATCATTCTGTGAGCAGTCGTGATCTGAGGTTGTGCTGCACTGTGCAAGAAAGCAAACAGCTTATTGGCAAACACATAACATTTCCTTTGATTACTTTACTATACAAGTCAACCAGTTAGAAGCTTTTATTGTGAAGCTGCAGCAGTATGACATGTTTGTATTAGCAGGAGAGCAAATGTATAAATATTGCGATACATTTATCAGTAGTCAATCACCATTATCATTATGTGATAGACGTTCACTACATGGTGCAGTGTCATCAGGCACTTAATGTGTTTTAATTCAATGAAAAGTGAATATACATGTCATGTCAAACGGAACACTTGTGTCCTGGCAGCACTGCTTTTGTGATTGCACTATTATCATGTTTATGTGTATATAGGTTTCATGCATACCGGCAGGGTGATAAACTTCAATAACAGAGAAGAAGCAGATCGCTAGACATGGTGAACTTGTCCTAAAAATACATCTTTGCAAAGCATGTTGTCAGTTTTTATCATGAGAGACAGGAAAACCGGACCGTCTGTCATAATACATTAGCGTTCTTGTTTAGATGGAGCATTCTTTGTTCATCTCTATGTTTTTGTCTCCTGTGTGCTCAGTGTTGTCTGTTGTGATGGAGCTGTACAGAACAGTAAAGAAACAAAACCTATAGGAAGTTACTTCATAGAGTCTCTGCCTAGTGTTAGTGCTAAATGTTTCAAATAAAGTAGATGAGGTAAAAATGGCCTAAATGGAAATATAACAGCAAAAATAAAATAAAAACACATCAAATGAACTTCTTTCCTGCACTGTCTGCAGGTCTAAAGTACAAATGATTTGAAGTGTCTTCCTTTATTTCAGTTGCTGTTTAAGATATTTGAATGTCATCTATGTGATATTCGGTTTAAAGACTTTCTAAACCTGAACTCTCACTCAGCAAAATTCATCTTCTCTTTCTCTCTCTTTTGCAAGTATGAGCCTGGTGAGAAACAAAGGCAGTTTCTCACCAGGCTCATTTGATTCTGCTGGAATCAACGTTATCCTTGGACATTAAGCTTGCTTTACTCATGAGAGAGTGACTTATTTGTGTGTGTGTGTTTTCACTCGTCATTACAATACATGTGATTGTATCCTGCTGCTGTTGGACGTCCTACATGCTGAGTTTACATCACATGACACTCGATAACTGATAGATTCACACTGTAAGAAAGCAGAATGGGGCTAATGCTAAACTCATCACAAACTGATAGGGGGTTAGCACTGCATTGGATGTGATCATGGTCATGTAAACAGGCCTGCTAGCTTTTGACATGACTTTTGAGTGGTAAGATGTAAAAACATTAACTCTGGGTTTTGCTCTTGTGTGTGTCCTAATGTATTGTTCTGTGTGGTTAAGTTCAGTCATTCATCCTGTATGATTTCTCTGTTTGTGAGAGTCCATGATTGGCAGACTGGAGTTTCAGTTATCGGTTACTTCAGATTTTCTGATAACAGCACTCACCAAGATAGTTGTGGAAATATGGGAACATGTAGTGGGATTAAATCATGTGTATGTTGATCTGCCGTTCCCATATCCAAACAGTTTTTCCTTTAGTATAACGTTATAAGCTTTTGCCATTTAATAAGACTTTCCAATATCATCTTCTTACTTTGAATCACTTCATGTGAGTTGGAATTAGTTTGCAGCAGCTCATGAATGTAGCGTCAAACTCCACTCTGCAGCAGACTGTGTGTGTGTGTGTGTGTGTGTGTGTGTGTGTGTGTGTGTGTGTGTGTGTGTGTGTGTGTGTGTGTGTGTGTGTGTGTGTGTGTGTGTGTGTGTGTGTGTGTGTGTGTGTGTGTGTGTGTGTGTGTGTGTGTGTGTGTGTGTGTGTGTGTGTGTGTGTGTGTGTGTGTGTGTGTGTGTGTGTGTGTGTGTGTGTGTGTGTGTGTGTGTGTGTGTGTGTGTGTGTGTGTGAAGAGAGGGTGTGTTGCTGTGTCATTGGTGAGGAGAGGTACACCCTACTGCAGAGTGAGCATGGTCCCGTGTGCAGCAGATATGAAGGTGTATTGGTGGTGAGTACCTGTGTGTAGCTCCGTCAGTAACCCGACTCTGACGGCGCCCTCTTGTGTCAGCCCGCAGCCTGCGTCTGAGCCCATGGGAGAGCCGGATCGTGGAGCGGCTCATGACGCCGACGCTGTCGTTCCTGGCCCGCAGCCGCAGCGCCGCCACCCTCCTCAACAACAGCGACTCTCGTGAGTGTTAAACGCCTTCTCAATGTTTGCACCCAAATTGAACCATTCTCCTTTCTCGGCACATCACTGAAGTGTGCAGGGAGGGGAGAATAGTATAGATGTTATGTTCACTAACAGAAAACAAAGAAAATTGCATTCATATTTAGAAAGCTGGAACCAGCAAATAACTGGCATATTTGTCTTTTCAATTCCCTCTTGCTCTTTATCTCTATGTATTCATCCTTTTACAGGTCAACCCTGTGGTCATATTTGATTTGATTGAAAATAAGGCACCAATTTATGATCAGTTAATCTGTCATTTATTGGTTTGTTGAAGTGATGACAATACTTACTTATATTTAGCAAGCAAATATTTAGCATTTTTGTCTTTATAGATAATAAATCAATTGAGTTGATGCCTAAGGGCAAATGGTGTCTTTGCTTTGTTGAAGAATAAACTCAAACCGGCACTAATGGATACAAAATGATGATTGAACCTTTAGGTGAAATCAATAAAACTCCATAAGAAAACTGTAAAATAAGTCCCACCCTCTAAAGATATCATTACTTCATCCGTCCATTAGATGTAAGTTGTGTTTCCCAGTTGTGAGGCTTTGTATCATCACTCTGAGCTGGATGTGTTAGTGCGTCCGTGGGGCCGCTCTCTGCATGTTCACATGTTACTCAGACTCTCCTCACTGCTCCCGCTCAGCCTCGCTCAACGCCTCCCATCACAGCCCGCACCAGAACGCAGAGCGCTGGAGGCTCTCCTCCGCCAGCACGCCGGACATCACCCTGCGCCAGCGCCGGCGAAACTCCACACCGGTACGCCCACATGGGGATTCTCTTATGAACAGACCTCCTGTAAATATATTCCCAGCTTCTGCAGTGGCTTTTTATTGTAGTGATTATCATTGAACAGTTTATTTTGTGGTGTTATTCATCATCTTTCATGCTCCACAAACAGACATTGGACATCATCACTAAAAATAAGAGTATGTATAGTATAATATAGAAACTTAGGAACGTGAAGCCTTTATATCAACATGTTCTCCTCTGAATGTAATTTGAAATGCGTGGTGACTAATTCACAGAGAATGATGGCATTTGTGGACCTTTAAGCTCAACATCTTGGTTTTATGCAACTTTATTAATTGTTTTACTCACACAATGGCTGTTTTCATGGGAAAAGCTCTAACAACCCAGCAGACAGACTCAGTTTAAGACCATTTGGTGAACATAATGGAGCATTTAGCAGCTTATTAGGCACATATTTCTCTCAGGAGTTATTGAGGGCCAAAACAGAGCTAGAGTCAACACTGGACTTAAATTCATAATATAGAAAGAAACAAAACAAATAATGATTGTGTTTGCCAATTTCAGACAATACTATGTAATAAATATAGTGTTTTACCGCTGTGTTAGAACAATCATTTGAAATCATCCTAAATTCCCAAAATGGGCAACATAAATAAACCCTAGTTTGAGGTCTGTTTTTGCTTGTTTTATAATCTAATTTGTTATATTCACAATGTGAGAGCTTCCATTTCATTTGGGGATACGGACAGTTTACTAAACCTCCTTTCTCTAGAATATACAGTTTTCAAAATACATTTGAAACCGTTACTTATTTCTGTTACGTCTGTCTTCAAGTTGGACAAAAAGAAGAAAGAGAAGAAAGACAAGGAGAGGGAAAATGAAAAGGAGAAGAACTCTCTCACAAAAGACAACGTGCCGAAGAAGAGACAGACACCATCGCCCACCACCCAGAGGTCCAGGCCAACCAGCAGGTATCACACCAACTGACTTGTGCCTAACCCTTTTCTGTTTAATTCATATATTGAGGACTTATTTAAAGCAACGTTAAGAAGCTGTCTGTTTGTATTGACTTCGGCGGCTCTTGTGGAAAGTGGTTATAGCACATCATGTCGTAAATATTTGGATCGTGCTTCCTCGTTAATATGGTTCAGATGCATACAGTGAAAGAGAGATGTCATATATTTTATAAACGCTGCTATTGGATAGCGATGAGATAAGAGGGATGAAAGTATTACAACATTTGACCTGGGTTGAAAAACAGTATACATGGGAACAGAGTTGGGTGTAACAATATAACTTTTGTCGGTAACGGAGTAGTGTAGCGCGTTACTTTTATAATTTAGTAATCACACTACAGTTACTAACATTGCCCCGACACGCGTTACTTCGTTACTTTTATAAAATAATCACACTCACTGACAGACTAGAGGAGTTTCCGCCGCAGGTTTATATCGGTTTATATACATGTAGGCCTATGTAATCTGCGCGACTTGCGAGACCACATCTCCACGTGCAGCAGTGCTGCATAAACATGGCTGAGTCTTTTCATCTGTAAACTCCCTCAACGGGGCCGCTCGCTCTCTTTTGTTGATCGCCCTCTCACGGGTGAACAGTTCAATGTCCCGCTTCATTGTAGGAATTCTGTCTCTACCACTTTAGTTTGACCATCTCTGTTACTAAGTTATGGAATACTAAATAAGTAATTAGATACCTTACCGTTATGCGCTCATAAAGAATGATAAGAATAATGCGTCTTGAACTGGTTTAATTAATTAGTGTCTTGACGTTTCACAGACTGTTAGCTTGTTGTGGTAGGCTGGTAGCCTATTTGAGAGAAAGACTTGTGTTATGTCTTCCTTAATGCAATAGTAATTGGGGGGGCAAGTGGAGTCTCGCAGAGGCAAAACTGTGGCGCGCACACTGTAGGTGCGCCGCAGTCTGCGTGATCTGCCTGTAGGGAGGGGCGGGCCGGCCCTGCGAGTAAAGTAACGGGTAAAGTAACGAGTAAAGTAACGAGTTACTTTATGTAGAGAGTAACGAAGTAGTGTAATATATTACTTTTTTTTAAAGTAATATGTAATATGTAATATATTACTTTTTTTTAGTAACGACCCCATCTCTGCCTGGGAACAATGACTTCATGTAGCAAAATACAACGTACACCAACAAGTCTGCCTTGCATCTCCACTACTACGGTTCTAACATCCTCCCTTTGGCGTAACACATTCCAAGAAAGCTGCCTTTTGTTTTAGAAATGACCATTGTTTGGCTTTGTATATTATACAGGGTCAGGTCGTTGCATAATGCGACCCTAGAGTAGAACATTAGCTTTTTAGCCTCATGACATAAAGCTAGCTCTTGTGTAGCATTTGTGTTTGCTTCCAACTCTGTCAATGAAACTCCAAGTTGTATGATGTAACTCCTTAAAGCTGGACATCATTCAGTCAGCAGCAGAGGGCCGGTCTGTTAACAGCAGAACAGATTGTATCGGACAGAAATTGGTTTTCCTGACGGATGCACACAGGGGGAAAAAAGATGGCTCCCTGCCTCCCCTCCTCTCAGGTTTCTCTCCCCTGCAGCCACAGCATCATGTTTCAGATGGAGACACTCATATATTCCACATGACCTAGTTATGAGCTTTATGCAGTGCACTGGAACTTAGTTACCTTTTCCTTCACGGTTAGGATTTCTCTGATGTTTTACCTCCATCTCCTGTGTTCTCATCAGCACCCCGAAGCCCAGAAACAGACCTCCATCACCCGCCGCCCCCAAAAGTCGCCCCCTGTCCCCCATGGTGCCGGCAGCACCTTCTAAGACCCAGGCGGGCAAGAAGACCCCTCCTCCTGGCACCAAGATCCGGCCTAAACGGGCCCAGACGCCTGCCAGGGTGTCCCAGACGGTCACTGCAGTCGCCGTGGAAACAAGCCAGCAACCCCAGAAGCCCGACACTCCAGAAGAGAAAAAGAGTGAGTGTGGTTACCATAGAGACGATAGCCAAGACTCAAGGTGACCCAGACTTTTTGGCCGACATTCACGTTTAATAAAAGCTGTGATTACTGCAGAGTGTGTGTGCCAGGCTCTTACTGAACCTCTGAGGTCTATGGGCATTATCTCGATTTATAATTGTAATGTAATCTTTGAAAGCTATCTGCATACATAAGTATCCCATTTCTTATATCATAATGTGCTTAAAATGTGCGTTCTAAAATGAGGCACCCAGCAATGTGTAAAGAGATCATTTAGCTTTTTGCTGCATTTCTTGGCTTGAAATGGGTTTATCAAAATCTTAGGTTCACAATAGTAGTGAAATATATGAATGACATATGAAGTTACGCATGAAAAAAGATTTTCTCTCAAATAAAATGTTGTAATTTCCCTTTTTGAGTAGAAGTGTCACTCTACTTTTAACACGAATGACATCACTTCATACTAGGTACATAAAGCTTCATGGGATATTGCAAATTATATTGATCATTACAAAACCCAAACCTAATATTTAGTGTCCATTAAAAAATACAACTTCAAGTCACCTTCACTGACTGTTCTATAACTAGAGTGATGATGAAACTGCCAAACCACCAACCAGCAGCAGACAGATACAACATTTTGTCTTTTTAAAGTAAATACTCCGCACACTTTCTCTTTGGAAACATTGAAAACTGTTCACACAGCTCCATGAAACAGATCATTTCAAACTTTTCTCTTGGTAAACCGAATGTTTCTTCCTCTCTATTGTGTCTTAAGAAACATACTCATCTCCAGTCTCCTCTCTGACAGCCTCCAGTCCTGTCCCTGCCATCGTGGTGTCCTCTGAACCGCTGACTCCTCCTCTCCTCCACCCCTCCGAGGCTTCAGCTACCTCTCCAGCTGCTCCCAGCGTAGAGGCTGCTGCCCCAGCTGCTCCTCCTGCTGCAGCCTCCTCCAGTAATCCTGCTCCTTCTGCAGCACCATCTCCTGGCCCTGCAGCCTCCAAGTCCTCCAGTAAACCTGCTCCTTCTGCAGCACCATCTCCTGGCCCTGCAGCCTCCAAGTCCTCCAGTAAACCTGCTCCTTCTGCAGCACCATCTCCTGGCCCTGCAGCCTCCAAGTCCTCCAGTAAACCTGCTCCTGCTGCAGCACCATCCCCTGGCCCTGCAGCCTCCAAGTCCTCCAGTAAACCTGCTCCTTCTGCAGCACCATCCCCTGGCCCCGCAGCCTCCAAGTCCTCCAGTAAACCTGCTCCTGCTGCAGCCCCCACCGCTGCACCTGCTGCCCCCGCGGCCTCCACCCCCCCGACTGCACCCACCAGCAGGCCGTCAGCCGGCACCAACAACCCGGAGGAGGCTGCTCGGGTCCTGGCAGAGAAACGCAGACAAGCCCGAGAGCAGCGGGAGAGGGAGGAGCAGGAGCGCGTGGAGCAGGAGAACAGGAACAGGTGAGGGTCAATGTCCATATAAAACACCTTGTTATTCATCAGATCATGTCATATAATATTTAGAAAGAGTATGATAGTGTGGTTAAGCATTTATGACTTTGCAGGGTATATATAAATATAAATATTGTTTTGACAAAATAACAAGAACACCTTATAGCATGATGTAACACAACAAAACTCTCCTGCAATACAAAACACCTCATAAACTTGCATTGTACTTCATCACATTGTCAGGTTATTATCCCTTCTTACCTTGGTGCAAAACAACATGTTTTGTTTCATTGAGTAGACTAATTGGTGCTTGATTTTACAAATCATTAATTTCCTAATAGTTGTTGTGTGATTTGGCAGCATGAAGATTCAGATAATAACTGCTCCATTTTGAACCAAATAATGAATAAACAAATGATGATAATTCATTATTTATTGGAACTACTTACGCTGCCTGTGGACACATTTGTACGTGTGCAGCTCACCTGCTAAAAAACATTACATTAGATTTGAATTGTTGTTATGCAAATGTTGGCTCTTGTAACATTTTCTTTATTTTAGTATATCAGGACATTTTAGACCAGTTAAATAAAGAGTCACCGACATGTTTTTAATGTTTATTTCTGGAGGTTTTGATACTTTGACGTTTTCTTGTATTTAAAACATAGATGTTTTTGGTGTTATCATCAATTCCACGTTCGCAAAAATGTGAAGGATTTTAACCCCACAAACAGGGCCGGCCCTCGGCATAGACAGTATAGGCGAATGCTAACCCATAGGGGGCGCCGAAAATTGGGGAGAAAAAAAGAAAGTTAGAAATAAAAAAATATTTTTTTTAATTTTCCATAACACAATTTCCAGATTTTGGATCAACAAAGTACATCTTATTATCTTATACTAACAGAACTACGCCTATATTGCGTACAGTGCCCATAAACAGTGCGCCAGCTAAAATCTTGCCTATAGGGCAGCAAATTGGTCACGGCCGGCCCTGCCCACAAACCACTGATCTCTATTTAACACTTTAACTTTTCAGGATCCTGCAGGAGGAGGAGAGGAAGTGCCGAGAAGACGAGGCTCGCTTCATGGCTGAGCAGCAGTGCCTGAGGGACGAGACCCAGCGCGCAGAGGAGGAGAAGGAGGCGCAGGAGAAGGCCATAGCCGAGCAGGAGGAGAACGACAAGCAGCAGAGACAGGTCAGGTTCTTTTTTAGGGCAACCAGTGCCTTTGATTAAGTGAAAGTGTTTGAAAGGGGGGGACGGAAGGGAAGACCACGGCAAATGGTCCTGGGCCAGATTCGAACCCCGGTCCTCGCCCTGGGGACCGAGTTACAGTACATGGGGAGGCCGCCAGCTCTACCAACTGAGTTATACGGAGGCCCGTTCTAGGTTTTTTAAAGTTGTTGTCGGAAAAATTGCTTCAGTTGATGCTCTAGTTTGTTCAGGAGGAAGGGAAACGGGTGAATGAGAGTTTATTTAAAGGTCAACTATTATGCAAAATCCACTTTTTCATGTCTTTTCTACATCAACATGTGTCCCCTCTGTGTTAAGAGATTCTGAACGTTTCAGGAAAAAGATTCTCTCACTTTTTGTCCTGATCCATTTATATAAACAAAACCTGTCTGAAAATGAGCTAATCAGATTCTGGCCACTTTATGATGTCATAACATTTTTTTGGCTTGTGTAACCATTAGCCAATCACCCACCAAGGTAACCCCCCGCCCCCACCTTATCACCTGAATCTCCTCCTAGAGCACCATTGTGTTCTTTTTAACCAAATATCTCTCAGAGGGGCGTGGGGAGGGGCTCCTTATTTTCATCGAAAGTAACAGACAGAAAATCAGCACTTTTGAAACAGGGCTGAAACAGAGGGGATTATGGGTAATGCTACAATGATCTGTTTGGTGTTTGGAGCCAAACACTTCAGAGACATGTTTTCTATATATCTGAGACCTATAATATATTGATGAAAAACAGTATAATAGAGGACCTTTAAAGGTTTCAGATCGCACCATTACTTATTTGATGTCTATCATATAATCCAAAACGTCTTATAGTCAAAAATGTGACTTTTATAAAAATAAAGACTTGTTTAAATCCTACAAGAAACACTTTATAACTCAAAGTTGTATCCATGGGCACTCCAAAGCAAGTTTATTTTAATATCACATTTCATTAACAAGGCACTTCCGAGTGCTTTACAAATCAAGTGACAAGCTTTTTCGAAAAAAGGCAAAGATAAACCATTTTAAATGACCTTTAAATACAAACAAAAATACTCTCTAAAGAGCCAAGAAAACGAAAAGAAAGACAAATTCAAATGGAATAAGACAGTTATAAAATACCTTAATTCAATGCTGTGAAAGATTTGTATAGGTATTCATTTGATTTGATAAAAGGCTTTAAATGGAAAGTCTTCTGATTGAATCAAGTGAAAGTTGCAGCAGACCTCTGTGCTTCTGAGAGTTTGTCCCAAATGAATGAAGCATTAAAACAAAACCCTGCTTTCACTGTGGGAATCAGCCCCTGAACCCAACACTTCACCAGTTAGACACAGTATCACTTCCTGTTAACTCTAAATGCAGTATGCATAGCAAAGCCTCTAATTTTCCATTAGCCATCCCTGCGATCCCCCACATGCAGTAAGCCCAGTTTACCATCTGCACAGATTAAAGCGCACAGGGAGGCCTGAGCTGTTGGGGGGTTAGATACCGTACTCTAGCCCAAACAGCACTCGCCCTCTGACCACTGACTGCCCGGCATCTGGGCAGATTAAAGCAGGAGAGAGTGCTGCTGTCACGGACAGCTCGCTGGTCCGAGGGCCCTTGTGTGCCCGGGCAGATGCCAGCTGGTGACCTCCATAACGGGGATGAGCAGAGGCATTGTGATCAGGGAGAATGTGGCAGGCCTGTGTCTCTGCTGATAGTCGGATAAGCAGCGTCAGTGTGCCTCAAACACTCAGCCACGCTCCACTCCCCTTCTCCTCTTCAATCGTACCATTGTTCCACTCTGACAGCTCCACACTACAGCGGCCTCATCATTCTGAGAGCTCAAGTGTAGCACTCACTAATAATGTAATGGAAACTGAGAAATGAGTGTGAATATTTAAAATGTGTCTCTTTAAATGACATTGCTGCAGTTTAAAGTCCGGGCACAGCAGATATCTGAAAAAACAGCAGTATGCAACAGTTGACAGATGTGAGTTATGCACACATCATTATTTCTGTTTTCATTGCGCACTTCTGTTGGCTTGCTGTTGAATCTAAATACCCTGTGAAGCATGTAACGGAGGTACTTAGATAATATCACTTCAGGCCTAGGGGCTGCAGGACAGACTGAGCGTGTGCTGCCGACTGCTGGTTAAAAGGGTTATTTAAAGCATATTTAATGAAAAGTATTATTAGCATAATGCACTTGTAGTGGAATAAAAGGTCCAGTATTTACCTCTGATAACTTACAATGGATATGCTCAAGTAAAATGCAAGAACCTCAAATCTATACTTAAGTAATGTAGTTGACTAAGTATTTAGTTACAGTCCATCACTGACTATGAAGGAAAATGTAAGTACCTTTTTCAGTTTCTCAGTTATGCCATCATTTCTATCAAAAATAATAGATAGCCTTTATCGTCCAAGGAGGTCATTTACTCAAGTCGGCACATCTCAAAAAATGTAATTTGGTGGGCATACTGTATGGTCATATATTCGTACACACACTCACAGACACTCATGGGTATACGCAGATGTACACACAGAAGTGCGTTTAGTGCTGCTGTGGCAGAAGGGATCAAACTCATGCTTAAGACGCCTTTCCTACATGTCATCAGTCTAGCAATTAACAGTAACAAATATTATATTATTAAAATTAGTCTGTGGCCATCCGTTAGTTAAAAGGAAAAGTAGTAAAATGATAATTAATACTCAATTTACATCTCAATCCACATTAACAAATAATATATCAGTCAATCACACAAAGGTTTTAAGGCTAATGCTAAAAATTGTTTCTTACAGCAGGAAATGTAAAGGGGGAAAAAGGACATCCTGTACACTTGCATAGAGTACGATTCTACAAATTCAACTTTAATTAGACAGTTGGGCAAGTGTCATTTGCTAAGTATTTGTTCTCTGTATTCTCAGTCTACAAAGGGCATCTGAAGTGTAACAGAATATTTTAATGAAATTAAACTGTTCTCAACTCTCTGGTGAAGCAGGTTTCAATAAAAAAAAATGACACACATCCGGTTTAATTAAAGTCTTACGTGCAATATTTGTGTTTTCTTGCTTCAGAGGGAGGAGGCTGAAGCCAAGTCCCGCGAGGAGGCCGAGCGTCAGCGCCTGGAGAGAGAGAAACACTTCCAGAAAGAAGAGCAGGAGCGGCTGGAGAGGAAGAAGGTGAGGAGGAAGAACGTTAACACTGTAGCTTTTATCATAGTACTTCCTCCCTCTAAAGAAACATCTCACTAACTGACCTCTCTGTCTGATCTGCACAGCGCCTTGATGAGATTATGAAGAGGACTCGGAAAAGTGACGCAGGAGAAAAGGTCAGTGTGATTTCTCTTTCACAGAGAAGACATTAACACACTTCTTGGAGTTTTAAAACAGACGTCTTTTTGTTGTTTATCTTCACAGAAAGAGGTCAAAGCTTCTCCACAGGTCAACGGCAAGGACTCAGATCTCAGTAAGGGTAAGTGTCACATCATCAAAATACAGGAATACACTCTAAAGATCTAATTAGTTTAATAATAATAAAACTTTTTTTAAATAGCACTTTTCATACAACACATGCAGTGCTTTCCAAAATGACACATCACAAGTTAAAAATAAACAACAAGAAATTCCCCTCAGATTATTTGTTAAGAACTTTACAGGTACATGCAGCAAAATATAAAATGTTATCAGGTTAATAGACACAAGGAGGTCAAATGTATAATAATACAAATAGAATAAAATAAATAATGGTTTCTCTCCGACAGATAAGACACAAGACAACTGAATCGATGCAACAATATAAAACCCCATAAAACAAAGTGAACGGAAATAACAGAAATAAAAAAAAAAGATAATAGTAAATTGCCATAATTCTAATAAAGGAAATAAAAAAGACCAACGTAAAAATAAATATTGCTATTGAAGCAAAGTATAACTCATGATTCACATCTTTCTGCAGCAGCTGGGAGCCTCCAGAGTCCTGGTGCAGCTGTGTTCAGCCCGTCACAAAGTGTTCCCGCTCCTGTTGCCAACGACGTCCAGCCCGCCGCCCACCAGAACGGCATCTCAGCCAATGGAGGGGCGGCCAACTTCGAGGAGATCATCCAGCTGAACAACGGATCCAACCCTGCGCAGAGCGGGCTGGTGGGTGAGCCCATGCTGGCGTTTGAGGGCGGAGAGCCCTTCCTGATGAAAACAGGCCCCATGAAGCCTCAGCATGTCGCAGGTACGGTGAAGACTCAGCAGCTGAGACTGTGAGGACACAGCCAAGGTTTGTGTCCTGGTGCTGAATTCACCACTATAAAGTATACTGTTGATTGTGTTAAAGGATGATAATTGTTTAACAACACGTTCAATCCTCCGTATTGCTTGTATAGAAGTAACATGAACCCTAATCACAGTTTATAGTAGTTAGAAATTATAGAACAGGGTATGAAGAGAGAGAAAGTACAAAAGTATATTACAGCCATCAGGTGGAAGATGTTTTCAAAATGGTGTTGTTTGTTCACATCATTTTATTGTGTGTAAGGAATAAGACTCAAACCTGTGTGAAAGTAACATTAGATACTATAGAAATTCTCGTCCAAGAGATTACAGCAACAGAATAATGTACAATGTTACAGCTATAATATGAACTGTATAAGAAGTAATACTAACTCATAACAATGAACAATGAAAGTAAAGTAAATGTAGTTTAATCAAAAATCTCCCTTGTATGAAATGCATTTCAATACACAATTTTAAAAGTGATAAGTAGATATTTTAATGGAAATCAGATGAGGATTTTTGTTGTATTAATCATTTCTATTGATTTGTATGAAGTGGCAAAATATCAAGTATGCCTATGAATTCTTGAGGAATCAAGATGTGGGGTTTTATCGTGTTTAAAGGCTCTATTATGCTTTGGGTTTTTATTTTGTATTTCCTATAGTCTGTTTTATAGGTTTGTATGCATGTAAATGGTCTGCAAAGGCTAATATCCAAAGGTTTCCTACAGGGGGAACACTTTATGAACATGTAAGCATGTAAACATGTCAAAGTCGAAAAATACAAATATGAACCTGAAAATTAGCTAAATAGATAGCCTATGCTAAAGCTAATGGGATGCTAATTGTGAAATACAGAATCAGTGCTTTTAATGCCTACTGGAATAGAAACTTGATCGAACAGATATGAGTTGAACTGTTCCCCTGTATCTGACCTGTGTTGTTCTCTCTGCAGAGGTCCTGTGAGTCCCCACTCATCTCCATGGAGACGCGCCTTATGTCTCTGCTTGAGCTATGAGATTCATGCCATACCACAGCAGCTTGTAGAAGAAGAAAAAATGGTGTGCCAAACAAACAATGAACTGCGCTGAATTCACATTTTACAGTATCTGCCGCAAGAGGACAAAGAGGAGCTTCTCATCTGAAAATATAAAACCATGCAACAAGTATTCTTTGTCTTCACCGCGTGTCCTGGTGCAGCATCTGTCAAGTTGTATTATCAAATGTCACATGCAGAGTTTATGGTGCACCTTAAAGATGACGAACTGTGTAACACATTTTAGAAAATACAGTATAAGAGTCTGGAAATACATCATATTTGACAATGGTTGTTATTATTACCGTCGTTACGATATTGTTATTGTTATCTTAAGTTGAACAGTGTGTGCGTGTGTGTGTGTTTGTTGTTTTGTCTTGAATTACTGAGTTATTTAACATGGAGCATTGTAAGGACTGGCCACAGACAGTGTATGTAAATGTATAATGAGCCTGGCTGCCTAGGCCTCCTGTTACAGGGGATCTGTGAAATAAAGCTTTATGAAAGGGAGCGTGTCCGTCTGTCTGCATTTATATCGATTATTATTATTAGAAGAAGACATTAGATAACAAGGTTTTTTTGTAATAAAGATTATGTTTTTAGAGCTGCTCATGGGTGAAAATAGCTAAGGAGATTTGTGATTGTGTGGAAACAAGACAAAATACATATAAAAAACATGGTGTTATATATCATTCATTAAACACATTTGAAAGGAAATGCAGGTACCAAACTTGAGTATTTCTCTCTCAACTGTCGACAGCATGACAGTAAGATGTTCAGAGGAACCAGAAGGTGGCAGCACTGAGGATTTCAGTGAAATGTAAATGTTGCTGCACCTATGAACCCTGCTACCAGACATTTTACCTGTTAAACCCCGAGCCTGTTTTTCAGGTTTCAGGCTCGAAAATGACATTCCCAGAACAAATGACCATATCTTCCCTTCTAAAAGGGTTAAATTAATCATATTTTTTCTCAAAGTAATGATAAACCTGTGAGTTGGATGTAGAAAAGTCAGAATAAATATAGATGTTTTTTATTTTAAAGAAAATTCAGATTGAACATGGTAAAAAACTGTAAATGATAGTGTCCGTCCAAAAAATATGTTGTACTTATAGTGAAAACTAACCTTGGATGATGGGTTAGTAGACTAAAAGCTTTAGGAATCCAAAGTACAACATATTATACCCTGTATCAAGATTGATATTAAACAAGTGATATTTGACCTTTTTAGACAGATTTAGCACCAAAAAAACCCTCTTCTGGGGCCATTTGGGTGGATTTTCCATATCTCTGGCCCCCCTTGCTGGATTTTGACATGTGACATCTCTTTCTGACCGTCAGATCCAATGGAATCGAGGGGAACTCACACATTTGCAGAGCCCGAGAGAAGAGGCTTCTCAATACTCAAATTTCCCCTCCTCGGTTCCCCTCCTCGAGACTTAGACCCGCCCACAGGAGATGTGAGCGGAGGACCGAGGAAGGGAACCGAGGAGAGAGGAGGGGAAGCAGCAGACGTTTAAAGAAATGAGAACTCCTCTCCTCTGAGCAGTCATTTTAAAGAGACGTCCGTTCATTATTACGTGGCAACAGCTGCATCAGCTGTCGAGTGTTTTGTCATAGCGCTGTATCTCTGTTAGATCAGCTGAACATTGTTCCCCCACATATTTACTTTGAATTCATTGAGAGTGCGGTATAATGAGACAATAACAGGCTACAGATGCGGCCACACACATACACAAATATATTTATATAAATATATACAATTTAAAGTATGAGAGCACTCATAATAACGTAACACAATCAGAGACTGGATATATCCCCCCCTATCTCTGGTCGCTGAAATGGGGAATTGAAATTACGGGCCAAAAGTTGTATTTACAAGTAGGCCTATTAAAAGTAAGCAGAATACACCAAACCAACTGAGACCCGTCTGTCCGCCGCATTTACGCACTGTACCACACACACCTACACACTGTAGCCTACCACACACATACCTACACACTGTACCACACACCTACAGCTCCTAAAGCATAAGCCGTTGTGTATTTTATTATGTGAAGCAATGGTCTTAGAAAAATATCGACTCTTTGTTTGTAGATATCTACTAAACTAAAGCAAATAAAGAGAGTAGGCCTGTTATACTGAGTGATATATATTATACACACTGCTCTGCTTTCTGCATGGACCTTACAGCTGTTCTCTCTGGAAACATCGCGACGCGATGAGAGCAGTTTCTAAAATAATATCCAGGGGATGCATGCATAGCTGTCATTGGCTGAGATAAGTCCGGCCGTGCGTCACGCCTCCACCGTTCCCGGAAATGCATCCGTGGAGGAGCCGTGGATGAACCATCAGTGTATCCTCGGTTATAGCTCCTCCAGAGAGCCTCCTCGAGGCTCGATGCTCGGTCCTCGGTGTGCATTTAGAGAAATGAGACGTCCTTCAAAATGGCGCTCTGAAATTCATTTCCGGGTCACTACCGGAGGACCGAGGAGTCGAGCAGTCGAGGAGGGGAAATTTGAGTATTGAGAAGCCTCTAGAGATAGTAGGCTTGTTTGAGACAAGCGAGACCTGCGCAGACCTGCGCAGTTGCGATCAACGTCTTGCTAGTGCGTTGCATGATGGTTAGCCATTTTGTCCGACTTGCTCTGGAGGCCCGCCTACATGAGACGTTGGAATCTCGCGGGACAAAGACGCCCGCAGCCTTGAGAGCGAGGCGCGGCGAGGCGCGGCGAGGCGCGGCGAGGCGCGGCGAGGCGCGGCGAGGCGCGGCGAGGCGGCGCAGTTGCTCTCCACGGGCTGCGGAAGCGAAATGCTTGATGGGAAACGACCATGGATGTATAATAAGGAAACGACTCGCTGGTATCTCGAGCTGAGCGCTCATTGGTGGTTTTTACCACGTGCTGCTGATGAAACTCTCCAATTGGCTGGCAAAAGTTTGTTGTTGTTTTGTGTCAGTTTTACGTCGCCACATCCAATCCCATTTTTCATCATTGTTCCACAATGTTTATCATCATGAAATTAATATCTATATATTTTATACTATACTGCTTACCGTTTTCATACTTTATATATCTTAGCATATTCATACACACTGTTCATGCTGCTCACAGGCTGATATCTAGTGTATTCATACCCCTCACTGTTTATTCATCATTCAATTCATTTTTATTCTGTAGGTTGTGTACATTACTTTTCACTTTACTGCTTGTTGCACCTGGTTAGAAGCTAAACTGCATTTCGTTGTCTCAGTACCTGTAATATGTGCAATAACAATAAAGTTGAATCTAATCTTGAGCAGGAACAAATGCATTTACTTAGTACATATCTGACATTAACGAATATACACATTTGTGCATTCTTTATAAATGCAAACTTGTCAAGACCACTGACGGAAGTAGTTTTGAAAAGTAATAAGTGGTTCTGTCTTTTACATGTATTCAACCCCCCTTGTACTGATTTGTTTCAAAATGAACTGACACTTGAGTCATTCATTTGTAGTGATATAATAGTTGTGGGATTTCTATTGCATCCACTTCATCTGCAACGAAAAACGCCAACGCAATTTCCGCCATTGCAAACCCAGCCAGTCAAGCCGACTCCGACTCCGAGCTGTCCGACTTAAGACGAGCTTTTTGACACCTCCCCCGGCTGCGATCGGCTACTCTCGTCTACTTTCGAGGCGAGCCGCAATGTGTCTCAAACAAGCCTACTAACTGCGCCGACTCGCAGCGCCTCGCTCTTAAGGCTGCGGGCGTCTTTGTCCCGCGAGATTTCAACGTCTCATGTAGGCTAGCCTCCAGAGCAAGTCGGACAAAATGACTAACCATCATGCAACGCACTAGCAAGATGTTGATCGCAACTGCGCAGGTCTCGCTTGTCTCAAACAAGCCTAGTATCTCTAGGGCTCTGCACATTTGGTAATGTGTGTGTGTTAGACTGCCGCATGGCCAAGACTGGAAGCAGCAGCAATTACATAAAAATGGAATTATGGATTATAAATAAAATATTTTTTTTATACAGAGACGTTAAAAACCTATGGATTAACCGATTCAGCCGCGTTTTTGTCGTTTTAATGCCATTGAACACGTCTTTTGATCAGATTAACAGCTACGGTGAGACGATCTCCCTAGAAGCTCCGTAAAGGTACGTGTTGTGATGTCTGTGTTTGCTTCCCCTGTCGCGAGTTCGGATCACTCAGTGATGATACTATATACCTAAATAATCTGTGGAACCTCAACTTTAATCGGATATCTTGTATGTGCAGCTACGATAAGTAATAAGGGTACTTTTATCTTGAGTTCTGTGCCAATGTCCGTTAGCATTTTTCGCTAAGGGGTCATTATGAGGCTTCTTATGAGACTTGTTTTGGTAAAAATGGTTTGTATCTTCAATTAGCTGAGATTATTTCCGTTAATCTGGTATAAGACATTAATAGGTTCTTAAATATTAAGATCCCCTGCTGAGACACAGTGTCGTGGAAAAAAAAAACAGTGTCCCCGCCGGCGGGGACCTTGGGGTTTCACAGGTTAAAACCCTTGTAGATCATCTGTTGCATCATGAGTGGTTGTACTGTAGGAATATTAACACATTTGTAAGGGTTTAGTATTGCACTTATTACAGTTATAAAATGTGTAAGACACAGATTTAAAAAATGAATGTTATATGTTTTGGGCGGTGGTGGCTAAGTCCATAGGGACTTGCTTGGCAACTGGAAGGTCACCAGTTCAAGTCCCAGAAAGACCAAGTGCTACCGAGGTGTCCCTGAGCAAGGCACCGTTCCCTACACGGCTCCCCGGGCGCCGTACATAATGGCAGCCCACTGCTCCTAACACTAGGATGGGTCAAATGCAGAGAAACCGTTTCGTTACATATACCTGTACTACGTACGCGTAATGACAATAAGTTGAATCTTCATCTTTTGAGCAGGTTGAGATATCCTGACTTTCTTTCTTGAGATCAAGCATGAAAAACAGTGCATCCTAAATTTCAGATTATATAATCAAATCTATTTATTAGATCTCCATGCCACTTAATATTACAGCAAGATTTCTTTTTTGTCAGACTTGATAACACAACTTCACGATATCAGAAGAATGTAAAACATGTTTGAATCCAATTTAAGACTAAATAATATTTACTTTGTCAAATGAATTAAGTTCTCTTGATTAAGATGATTAAATTCATTAAAATGGCTTGTTTCAAATAAGAACCTGAATATTATCCACAATTAAACATGTATAAAGGTACTTTTTATTATTCTTAAATGTTTTTCAGAGACATATTGGGATATAATGGTGAACAAACAAAATAGGTGGTTAACTCAAAATTAGACAAGGACCGACATCGGAAATATTTCAATATTCAGTTATTATGTAGGACTTTAGGACTTTAACTGGGTGCCCTAATACAAATAACTAATAGTATTAGAGATGACTGAGAGTGTCTGTGTTTGATTTATTTGACCTCCAACAGTGCAGAGCGACAGAATATGTATTCTAGGGTCTCTT